GTTTGGGATTTGAACTGTGCAATTGACCACGTGGGATCCAGCTACCTTAACACCACTGGCTGGGTTGAGATATGTTGTTTTTATTGATGTTTCTGAAGAAACTCTGGATTTGTATCAATATGTAGTTGGAAAAAGGAATCTTTTTTTTTTTTTTTAAAAAGAGGTTTTTGGCTTAGGTCACATGTGCTCACTAGAGAGATGGAGAGGCAAAAACAGTGAGAGGAAAAGTGAGAAATCACCTCCTGAGGAGGATGTCCACTCATAATCTCTTCTCCTCTCTTTTCCTCCCAGGATCTTGGACACACATGCACATGTGCCCAGTGTGAGTTTCAGGCCACGGTTGGCCACATGGGAGTACCACAACATAACTACTACAGATTCTGCTGACCCGGAAAAAGGAATCTTTTAATAGTCTTCCCACATAGTTGTGAATATCCTTCCTTCCCCTCTAACAAAACTTGATAAGGTTTGTTATAATGTGAAATGTTATACTGTTTGTTTATAATGTTTGTTATAATGTGAAATGTGAAACCATGCTCAACCACTTTTTTTGATAAGGAAAGTGATGCCATGATCCCTTCTCTTTTCTCCACATAGGATGTTGGGCACGCATGCACACTTGCCCAGTGTAATTGTCAAGCCACGGGTCCAGGACTTGAATTGCAGTCAACTATATGGAAGTCGAGGCACGTAACTCTATCTCACCTGCTGACCCCAGTCTGCCTTCTTTTCAAACGTATCTTGATCTCACGTATGACTTCGTAACGTTGTGTATCGTTCATTTGTAAAACCTCTTTTACTGCGTTATCTCAATCAGTGTTTCTTAGCTGAGAGTTATTTTGCCCTGCAGGAGTATTTGGCAATGTCTGGAGACATATCTAGTTGCCACACTAGGGTGTTGCTACTGACATCTAGTGGGTAGATGCCAAAGATGCTGCCAAGTCTCCTGCAACACACTAGACAACCCTCTGGAACAAGAAACTAAATGGATCAAAATGTTGCTAGTGCTGAAGTTGGGAAACTTTAATCTACTTAATGTTGATGCATTTCATTATACAATGGCAAACATTTGTATTTGTTAATATCACCATTAATTTTTAGAACATTTTTAAGTATTGAGAAATTGTTAAGATCATGATGGTGGTTATAAGTTCTCCCAAAACTCTAGTTTTAGCTTTAAAGATCAAATTTATCATTTATAAATATTTTTTCCTTGATGTTACAAATCACACTTTCTTTTTGCCAAAGGGTGCATGCACTTGCCAGAGAGACACCCAGAGAGAGAAAGAGAAAGAGAGAGAGAAATGGTCACATTGCAATCCCTTCTCTTTCCATCCCTCCCTCATTTCAGGATTTTGGGCACACAGGTACATGCACCTGGCATATTTTTTAAGTCGCTGGGTCTGGGACTTGAACCGGGCTGTCAGCATGTGGGATCCAGCCACCTTAATCACCATCCCACTGGCTAGCCCACAAATCACACTTCATTCATCTGCCCTGTAGCTGGCCATGTAAGGTTGGAGTTCCCGTGCACAATGCTTAATCCTCGGCATCTGGACCCACCCCCCTCCTTATCTTCTACTTCTCCTTCTTCTTTTGTGAATGTGTGAGGTGATGACCACAATAACTAATCATATAATCTGTCACACTGCCTGGGTGAAGGTAGAAGTAACTTTATCCACTATTGTTTTTGAGCTCTTAGTGAAAATGTCAATATAGCAGAAAAGGCAAATATCACCCTACTACTGTTAGAAAAAAAAGTTTTGCCCTCAGGAAGAGTCTCAGGAATCATCAGTGACCCAGGGTCCAAATTTTGAGAATTTCTGCTCTAGATTTATATGAAAGAAATAAATTCCAATTTGTTAGGCTTTTAACTACAACATAGTTTATGTTTCTAATTTTCAAACTGTCTTTGGCCAACTTGCCAAAAATTCAGTAGTTATACAGAGATAGAGACTTCTGACTTTGAAGGAACTTATTTTAAATTCTGAAAGAAAATAGATATAAGAAGTTAAGAAGTGGGGCCAGCCAATGGTGTGGTGATTAAGGTAACTGGATCCCACATGAACAACTTCGTGGTTTGAGTCTCAGACCCAGTGGTTTAAAAATCACACCGGGTATGTGTGCGTGCGTGCCCAAAATCCCAAGAGGAGAATGGAGGAGAAGGGATTGCAGTGTGGCTATCCCCCTAGGGGGTAATTTCTCACTTTCTGACTCTCCGTACCATTGTGAACTGTAAAAAGAACGCCAGCTTTGGAGCCAGTTCAGACCTGGGTCTGCTGCATAACCAAAACCTTGGAAAAGTAAGTTACTTCACTTTTCTATGTTTGAACTTTTTCACCTGGCATGTGGCAATGGATTTATGTCTATCTCAGACGACCACGAAGAGTAACGGAGACCTTATGCACCGAGCACAATGCCTGGTGCAGAGCAGCTTCTGCATAAATGAAAATGATGGTTATTTAGTTCAGTGTCTGAGGGACTTGTTCAAATTGTAATGGAAGTCGAGGCACGTAACTCTATCTCACCTGCTGACCCCAGTCTGCCTTCTTTTCAAACGTATCTTGATCTCACGTATGACTTCGTAACGTTGTGTATCGTTCATTTGTAAAACCTCTTTTACTGCGTTATCTCAATCAGTGTTTCTTAGCTGAGAGTTATTTTGCCCTGCAGGAGTATTTGGCAATGTCTGGAGACATATCTAGTTGCCACACTAGGGTGTTGCTACTGACATCTAGTGGGTAGATGCCAAAGATGCTGCCAAGTCTCCTGCAACACACTAGACAACCCTCTGGAACAAGAAACTAAATGGATCAAAATGTTGCTAGTGCTGAAGTTGGGAAACTTTAATCTACTTAATGTTGATGCATTTCATTATACAATGGCAAACATTTGTATTTGTTAATATCACCATTAATTTTTAGAACATTTTTAAGTATTGAGAAATTGTTAAGATCATGATGGTGGTTATAAGTTCTCCCAAAACTCTAGTTTTAGCTTTAAAGATCAAATTTATCATTTATAAATATTTTTTCCTTGATGTTACAAATCACACTTTCTTTTTGCCAAAGGGTGCATGCACTTGCCAGAGAGACACCCAGAGAGAGAAAGAGAAAGAGAGAGAGAAATGGTCACATTGCAATCCCTTCTCTTTCCATCCCTCCCTCATTTCAGGATTTTGGGCACACAGGTACATGCACCTGGCATATTTTTTAAGTCGCTGGGTCTGGGACTTGAACCGGGCTGTCAGCATGTGGGATCCAGCCACCTTAATCACCATCCCACTGGCTAGCCCACAAATCACACTTCATTCATCTGCCCTGTAGCTGGCCATGTAAGGTTGGAGTTCCCGTGCACAATGCTTAATCCTCGGCATCTGGACCCACCCCCCTCCTTATCTTCTACTTCTCCTTCTTCTTTTGTGAATGTGTGAGGTGATGACCACAATAACTAATCATATAATCTGTCACACTGCCTGGGTGAAGGTAGAAGTAACTTTATCCACTATTGTTTTTGAGCTCTTAGTGAAAATGTCAATATAGCAGAAAAGGCAAATATCACCCTACTACTGTTAGAAAAAAAAGTTTTGCCCTCAGGAAGAGTCTCAGGAATCATCAGTGACCCAGGGTCCAAATTTTGAGAATTTCTGCTCTAGATTTATATGAAAGAAATAAATTCCAATTTGTTAGGCTTTTAACTACAACATAGTTTATGTTTCTAATTTTCAAACTGTCTTTGGCCAACTTGCCAAAAATTCAGTAGTTATACAGAGATAGAGACTTCTGACTTTGAAGGAACTTATTTTAAATTCTGAAAGAAAATAGATATAAGAAGTTAAGAAGTGGGGCCAGCCAATGGTGTGGTGATTAAGGTAACTGGATCCCACATGAACAACTTCGTGGTTTGAGTCTCAGACCCAGTGGTTTGAAAATCACACCGGGTATGTGTGCGTGCGTGCCCAAAATCCCAAGAGGAGAATGGAGGAGAAGGGATTGCAGTGTGGCTATCCCCCTAGGGGGTAATTTCTCACTTTCTGACTCTCCGTATGTCTCTGCCTCTCCAGCAAGTGCATGTGCCCTATAGGAAAAAAATCTCTCTTCAAAAAAAAAAGGTGCCTCATATCGTTAGTATCTTTGTGCTGTACTCAAAAGTAGGATAGCCTGACCTTCTCACGCAGTTCTGCTTGGACATTGGCACGACGTGCTCTCTGGTACCTCTCCTCCCTGTTCCCAACTGTTGCAAACACAGGGAATATTTATTTGGTCCACCATTGTGAACTGTTAAAAGAACGCCAGCTTTGGAGCCAGTTCAGACCTGGGTCTGCTGCATAACCAAAACCTTGGAAAAGTAAGTTACTTCACTTTTCTATGTTTGAACTTTTTCACCTGGCATGTGGCAATGGATTTATGTCTATCTCAGACGACCACGAAGAGTAACGGAGACCTTATGCACCGAGCACAATGCCTGGTGCAGAGCAGCTTCTGCATAAATGAAAATGATGGTTATTTAGTTCAGTGTCTGAGGGACTTGTTCAAATTGTATAAATTCTGTTTTTTCAATTTTCATTCACTGGGTGCTCTCTAATCCTGCTGTCTCATTTGGTTAGCTACTCTGAGAAGTTAAGGAATTGTGTCTAGTTCGTTAGTACCTTTTAAAGAAAAACTTCCTACTTCCCTTTCGTGTGATAAGAGGCTTATTGGAAAAAGAATGCTCTTTGTTCTTAATTTCAGAAGAGAATTTACCTTTCTTTAGAGGCTGTTTGCGTATTGATGGTAAATGTAATTCCGTATATTGTCAACTGACTAGTATATATTATTTATTATATAGAGGCCTGTCTAACAAGACAGCCACAGTCTGAAACAGGTCAATAGTGTGAATTAAATGCTAAAGCTTGGAATGACATCTATATTATACCTTTTACTGATCTACATGGTGTCCTAGGAATGTAACCTTGGTAAATATTTTTTAATAGGTTTCTGTTTCTTTATTTTCAGCTCTTTCAGTCCGGCATGGCAGAAAAACCAGTGTGTGTGTCCACACAAATACTTGATGATGAATATACAGTTAAGTATATTTTTCAAATAGAACTCTGCATTTTGTACTTCAATAAGATTTATACTTTCAAAATAGTGATTTGGTAAACTGATAAAGACCAAGTTAAGTGCTAATCATGGTTAAATTATTGCAAGTTATCATTTTAGTTTGAACCACTAAACTACCATATTTATTCTTTTATTGAAATTTTGCCAGAGAGAGACACAGAGAGAGAATAACCCCCCTCACCCCATTGAGAACAGTCACACTACAAGCCATTTTCCTCCATTTCTCCCTCCTTTCTGAATTTTGGACACACACACATACACACTCAGAGTTTTCTCAAACTGCTGAGTCTAGAACTTGGACTACTCAGAGGGCCACCTTAACCATCGTACCATAGACTGGCCTCTACCATATTTTTTCTCTACTCCTCACCATACTCCTCCGAAATGAGTAGTTTCTTTTTTTTTTCTTTTTAAAGAATTATTTCATTTTTATTTATTTATTTATTTTCATTTGACCAGAGAGAGACAGAGTGAGAGAGAGAGAGTGAGAAAGCAAGCTGCCAGGTCCAGGAACTCGAACTGCAGTTGGCCACGTGGGAGTCCAGCATCCTTAACCACCTGCCGGCCCCATGAGTGACTTCTTTAACAGCAAAGAAAAACAAATTAAAATACCAGCATTATCCAATAGGTGAAAAGCATATTATTATTTTGATGGAGATATTTATAGAATTTATGTATACTTAACATAAATACTTTTGAAATAAAGTTATTTTAGGAGGTTGAATGCATGTTGATTACTTTGCTGAGTGTGAGAAGGAATCAAGTTCCTTTTTAAAATGAGCTTCTGGGGGACCAGCAGTTAGCCTAATGGCTATGTTGCTGGACTCCCATGTAGTCAACCGCAGTTCGAGTCCTGGACCCGGTGGCTTAAAACTCACACCAGGCGCATGTGCATGCGTGCCCAAGATCCCGAGAGGAGCATGGAGGAGAAGGGATTGTGGCGTGGCCATCCCCCCTGGCGGGTGATTTCTCGCTTTGTCTCTCTGTCTCTCTGTCTGTCTGGCGAGTGCATGTGCCCTATAGCAAAACAAACAAACAAACAAAAAACCTCTCCAAAATAAATAAAAAAAAAATACATTAAAACTGACCAGTCCTGTGGCCTAGTGGTTAGGTATATTTTTCAAATAGATCTCACAGGGCCAACTGAGAGTTTGAATCTCATCCTGACAGCTTCAAAAGCACTGCCAGGTGGGCCAGCCGGTGCCCTGGTGGTTCTGGTGCTGGACTTCCAAATAGCCAACCGTAGTTCAAGTCCCAGACTTGGCAGCTTGCTTTTTTATTTTCCCTTTCTCTCTCTCTCTCTCTTTGGTCAAATTAAAATAATAATAGTAATAGCAACAAATAAAATTAAATAAATAAATAATAAAAAACACAGGGAGTCATAAGTTCCTGAGTGCCCCACTTCCCAATAGTATGGAAAAATGAAGAAGGGATTGTGGCATTCCCATACCCCACTGGGAGTACTTTCTCCCTTTCCTTCTTCCTCTGTGTCTCTATGATGAGCACACACACTCTCTGGCTTATAAAACAAATAAACTAAAACAAAAGCTTACATTAAAAGAGAGAATAGTACGTCTGAGTGGGTGAAAATTTAGTCATAGAATTCTTTATGAGATCAGCCCTGTAGCCTTGTAGTAAAGAGAGGCTGGATTCCACATGCCCGACCTTGCTTTGACTCCCAGCTCCGGCAGCTTGAAAAACACTCTGAGCATATGTGTCTATGTTCCCCGAAATGTGGACAAGATGAAGAAATGTTATGTGCTTCCAAAATACAATTATGAAACAGGCATAGAAGAGACATTCCCATTTCAAATGGAACTAATAGGAAGAAAGCAAGGAAAAACAGGTCCCAAGTAAGTTTAAACCCAACAGGACAAACCACACTAAATCTTAAGGCTTCAGAATGATCTTCTTTGACTTAATGCTCTGTCTGGTGAGGGATTGTTCTCTGCTTCAAAAAAACAATCATACCATAGAAGCAAGTAATATTCCAAATTTGTTCTGGAATCCTTTTACAATGGGAAAACTTAGTTTCTTCTCTAAGTATTATAAATAACATTTTCACAAAATGCGAATAATAGTAAAAAGAAAAACAACAACAACACTTCTTTCAACCTAGCTTTTTGCCAGCAATAATTAACCTTTCAAAGTTCTATATATCGGCTTTTCTTCAATGTTGGTACTTAGTGTGATATTAAGATATAGTGCTTTTTTTTTTTTTCTGAATGGCTTGTATTCTTGAAATTGTAGACTCTTTGTTAAAGAAAGCTCTAGGGGCCAGCAGATGGTGTAATGGTTGTGTCTCTGGACTCCAACATGGCTAACTGAGGTTTGGGTCCCAGATACAGTGGCTCGAAAATCATTCTGGGCATGTGACGTGTGTGCCCAAGATCCTAAGAGGAGAATGGAGGAGAAGGGATTGCATAGTGACCATACCCCTGGCGGGGTGATTTCTCACTTTCCCTCTCACTGTCTTGGCCTCTCTCTCCACCGAAAGCATGTGCTTTATGGCAAAAATGTCTATTAAAAAAAAAAGAAGAAGAAGGAGAAGGCAGCTCTAGATTTATAGAATATTAGAGTGTGAAAAAATTTTAGGTTCAACTGGCCAGGTTCCCTCATTTTGTGGAAGAGAAAATGGAGGCACCAGTACCTGTCTTAAAGGCTCACAACGACTAGTGACTTTTTTTATTCCATTAACTTTCTTTAATACCACTGGGAAATAGTTCTGTGAGTACAGATTAAGTATCAGGGCTCCTATTTATAACTTTATACTCATTGACCAACTTCTCTGCATCCTTCCTTCCACTAACCTTCCCAGCCTTGGTAAGGGCCATTCTACTCTCTGCTGCTATGAGATCCACCTTGCTAGATTCCATATATGAGTGAGATTATGCAGTATTTGTCTATCTGTGCCTGGCTCATTTTCTTAACATAAAGTCCTTCAGATCTATCCATGTAGCCACAAATAATAAAATTTTATTCTTTTTTATGGCTGAATAGTATCCCATCACATCTATCTGCTGGTGAACTCAAGGTGACTCTATATCTTGGTTATTGTGAATAGTGCTAGAATAAACACAGGAGTGCAGATATCTCCTTGACATAGTAAATTTATTTCCTTTGGATCTATACCCAGTATTAGGCTTGTTGGATCACATGATAATTCTGTTTTTAGAGTTTTTAAAAAATGATTTATTTAATTTTATTTATCATTATTATTATTTTTTTATTTGATACAGGCACTCACCTTTGAGACACACACACACACAGAGAGAGAGAGAGAGAGAGCGAGAGAGAGAGAAACTGAGAGAGCCATCCTGTCTGGGACTTGAACTGTAGTTGGCCATGTGGGAGTCCAGTGCCCCAACCACCATGCCACCTACCAGTCCCATGTTTTTAGCATTAAAAAAAAAATCTCCATACTATTTTTTATATTGGCTATGCTAATAAATATGTACAATTATTGTGAGTCCATTTAAAATAGAAAGGGCCAGCCCGCAATGTTGAGGCAGCTTGATCCCACTTGGCCAAGCATTCAGTTTGTGTCCCTGATCTGGCAGATTGAGAATCATGCCAGGTCCATGTGCATGCCCAAAATCCCAACAGGAGAGAACTGTAGAAGGAATTGTGGTGTGACCATCCCACACGGGGGGTGCTTTTTCACAGCCCCCAACCTCCCAATCAGAGTGTGTGGAATCTTTTGTACTTTACATATCATGACTTTTATTTTTTTTTATTTTTTTTTTATTTTTGGAGAGATTTTCACTGTAGGGCGTGTGCGCTCGCCAGACAGACAGAGAGAGACATAGAGACAGAAAGCAAGAAATCACCCCCCAGGGGGGATGGTCACGCCGCAATCCCTTCTCCTCCATTCTCCTCTCGGGATCTTGGGCACGCACGCACACGCGCCCGGCGTGAGTTTTAAGCCACTGGGTCCGGGACACGAACCGCGGTTGACTATGTGGGAGTCCAGTGACATAGCCATTACGCTAACTGCTGGTTCCCCTACATATCATGACTTTGTGTTCATTATCTCATTTGCTCTGTGTAGTCTGTATATACTTGCTGTCATGAAGAATTAAAATAATCAATGGACTCAACCGTGGTAGTGTGCACTGCTAAAATGCTGTTGTTTTGTGGGCCGAGGTCATAAGAGAGGCCTGGGTTTGATTCCTAGCTCATCCTAAAAGCTGAATGTCATGGCACACACCTGTAATTCCAGGAACTCAGGAGGCTGAGGCAGGAGGATCATGAGCTCAAGGTTGGCTAGGGCAACACAGTAAGAGCTTGTCTAAAATTACTGGGTGGTACCGTGTGCCTATCTATAGTCTTGGCTGCTAGACACTGAGGCAGGAGAATTGTGACACAGTGAGAACCTGCCTTTTAAAAAAGTATGATAGGGACCAGCAGTTGGTGTAATGGCTATGTCGTTGGACTCTCATGTAGTCGACCGCGGTTTGAGTCCTGGACCCGTGGCTTAAATTCACGCCGGGCATGTGTGCGTGTGTGCCCAAGATCCCGAGAGGAGAATGGAGGAGAAGAGATTGTGGCATGACCATCCCCCCTGGGAGGTGATTTCTCACTTTCTGTCTCTCTGTCTCTCTCTGTCTTTCTGGCAAGTGCACATGCCCTATAGCAAAAAGCTGTCCAAAAAAAATTTTTTTAAGGTATAATTAGCACTTTAATTTCATGTAAGTACACATGCAATCATTTATTTATTTATTTATTTATTTTGCTATAGGGCGCTTGCACTCGCCAGACAGACAGAGAGAGACAGAGAGACAGAAAGCGAGAAATCACCCCCCATGGGGGATGACCACGCCACAATCCCTTCTCCTCCATTCTCCTCTCGGGATCTTGGGCACGCACGCACACGCGCCCGGCGTGAGTTTAAGCCATCAGGTCCGGGACTTGAACCACAGTTGACTACGTGGGAGTCCAGCGACATAGCCATTACGCTAACTGCTGGTCCCAGCAATACTCTATTTATTTATTTTTAGTTTTTGCTATAGCATATAGCACATATGTGCTCACTAGAGAGACAGAAGGGGAGGGAAAGTGAGAACTCTTTAAGAGTTCTTTGGGGATTTGGGGCATGCATGCACACGTGTCCAGGGTGATTTTCAAGCCATTGGGTCCGGTACTTAAAGTGTAGAGTTGGCCATGTGGGATCCAGGGCTTTAATCTCCATGCCACCTGCTGGCCCAAAATAATCTTTTAAAATAGTAGGTTAAATCTTATTTTTTACACTTATCCTTCTATACTTTTTACTTTGCTTTATTTGTGGATGGTGCAAAGGCACATTTAAGACAAAGATTTGAATGATCACAAGCTCCAAACGAGTAGAATTTCAAATATTAACACCATCTACATGGACAGTGGCATTTCTTCAGGCCAAATGTTACAGTAAAGACCTTTTAACCTACCAAGATACCCGTCAAGCCATAGTAACGATACTGTTCACATCTCTACTTGCTTTGGTATTTTCTCTGTGGATAAGAACTGGATGCTAATAAGGCCAAGGTTTCTCATCCTTTCATGAGCAGACAATAGGCTCTTTTGTTCCACAAACACACACAGACTTTGTCTGGTGCCTCCCTAAGCTACAGTTTTAAAAATGAGAGAAGACTATCACAGGAGAACCTAGGCCAGAGAGGACAGTGAGATAACCAAATCAATCTATTACTCACTAAAACAATCTACAGAGCGTAGAGATCAGAATGTTCTTTTCATAAATAGGGGGAAAAAAAAAACGTCGAATTTACCGTGTATTTTTAACTCTGTTTTCTAAGAGCATAAATAATAAGAAATTGAATTTTTTTCTTATTTCTTACTTGGTTATATATTAAGCTAGTATTGCTAAATATACTCTTTTTAAATATAAAGTCTCCATAGACTTTCTGGCGATGAATCCTTGTTTGATTCGTGGTAGTTAGGGTTCTTCATCCCTATCATTTTCTGCTCAGTCAACATGTACCGGTTCAACAGACAGCTCTTGAGAGTCTACTGGGAGCTAGGAATTGGGTATATAAAATGAATAAAATCCTGCTTGTTCTCAAAAATCTGTAAGTATATCAAACTCTGTTTCTTTGGGTAAATCACGTAACATGTTTGGGTCTTAATCTCATATTTGACATAAGGGAATTAAGTTCGTTCTAATACTAATTGTGGTGATACTTATATAATTTTTCATATAAATATTCTTGTATCTCTTGCATATGTTATTTTAGAATGTTTATGGAAAAGAAAATAGGATAATTTTTATTTTCTGTACAAAGCATGTTTTGAAAGATGTTTGAAATATGTTTTTACTTAGTACTACAAACTTTCTGCTTTCTTTGGTGAAGATAAGATTTTAAATAAATTCAGATTAGTAGCCATACTTTTCAAAATATTTATGTCAAAAACAATATACTATCTCTGTTTTCTACTTATTGCTGAACTCATTTAAGAGCTCCGTAGCTGGGTGAGTCAAGAAGTGAGAAGAATGTAGAAGGAGACATGAAACTTTATAATGAAGGACAGTAATTCCACAATTATTAATTCTTATGCTCAAGTACAAAACGTTTGACTAGAAGGTGCAGTTTAAATAGATTCTCCTGTCCTTTGGGATTGCATTCAGATGCCTCTTTCTGCATGGGAAAAAAGGCATCTTGTTATGATTTCTTTCTGACGTATAAGCATGGTATGTCTTTTCATTTATTGAGGTCTTTCTTAACTGTTCTCATCATTCTTTTATAGTTTTTTGTTTTGTTTTGTTTTTTGAGAGAGATTTTTGCTATAGGGCATGAGTACTCACTGGAGAGACAGAAAGAGACAAAGAGACAGTAAGTGAAAAATCACCCACCAAGGGAATGACCACACCACAATTCATTCTCCTCTATTATTTTCTCTGGATTTGGGTCATGCACACCCATGCACTGGGCATGAGTTTCAAGCTGCCAGATTTGGGACTTGAACCATGGCTGTCCACATGAAAGCCCAGCACCTTAACTATTATGCCACCTGCTGGCCCCTGTGTATATGTTTTATACATATATTTTTAAATTCTTATACATCTTGATTATTTATTTATTTTTGTTGAGAAGTTTTTGCTATAGGGCACGTGCACTCACCAGAGAGACAAAGAGAGACAGAAAGCGAGAAATCATCCCTCAGTGAGTTTAAGCCATCAGGTCCGGGACTTGAACCACAGTCAGCCATATGGGAGTCCAGTGACGTAACCATTACACCCTCTGCTGGTCCCAAAATTTACGTTCTGGACACAGGTTTCCCCCCCCCCTCACAAATTTACTTAATACATTTGTGTCTTGTCTGAGTTATGATAATCAAATAGTAATCAATTTTTAACTTCTTTGGCATGTGATCATCATTTTCTCATCAAAAGACTTCATTTCCTATTCTAATAAAAACTTTTGATTATTATTATTTTTTTTTAAGCAAAAAGAAGATAACATCCGTTGCTTAACTATGCGTGGTCATTTTGGCTTTGAATGTTTGCCCTATCAATTGGTGAACAGATCTATCCGACAAGGATTCTCTTTCAATATTCTCTGTGTGGGTAAGTGCCAGACACCTCATTTGAATGATGACTTCTTTTTTCCAAATGCTCATTTCAACTTATCTTAAGCAATGTATCACTTGTGCTTTAATTCAAAACCATATCTTTGTGTTTTACTGGTTTCTGTTTCTTTTCTTTTCTTTTTTTAGTTTGCTGTAGAGCGCATGCACTTGTTAGAGAGCAATAGAGGACATGAGAAATCCTCCCCACCAGGGGGAATGGCTGCACCACAATCCCTTCTGCATTCTCCTGTCAGGATTATGGGCATGTAGGCACACAAGTTCATTGTGTTTTTCAAGCTGCTAAGTCTGGGACTCGATCCACACAGTTGGCCATGTGGGATCCAGCTGCCTTAACCTCCTACCGTGTGCCGGCCTTAATGTGATGTGTACAAAGTGAAATGATTACATTGAGCTAATTAGCATATTCAGCACCTCATTTACCTATTATTTCAAAATAATTACTTTATTTTTATTTATTTATTTATTTTAATTTGACCAAAGAGTGACAGAGTAAGAGAGGGAGGGAAAAAGAGAAGGGGAGAGAGAGAAAGAGAGACAGCAAGTCACCAGGTCTGGGACTTGAACCTCAGTTGACCATGTAGGAGTCCAGCAGCCTTAACCACCATGCCACGTGCTGGTCCCTACCTATTACTTTTTATGGTGAGACATTTGAAGTTTACTCTTTTATTTTGAAATATGTAATACGTTACTGCAGACTACAGTCACTCTGCTGTGCAATTGATTTCATAACATTTCTTCTGTCTATTTGAAACGTGGTGCCCTTTGATCAACAATTCTCCATGTCCTCCCTTCCCATCCTCCCACCATCTGGTAACCATCTCTTTACCCTCTACTTTCTCTGGATTCAACTTTTTTAGAGTTTGGGGACACTTTGACCCACTTCAAGGGTTCAGAGCATTACTTATCCCCAGCCACTTATTGCCCCTATAAAGATGTATCTATGTTTATTACAGGAGAAACTGGAATTGGAAAATCAACACTGATCGACACACTGTTTAATACTAATTTGAAAGACAGCAAATCCTCACATTTTTACTCCAATGTTGGACTTAAAATTCAGACATACGAACTTCAGGAAAGCAATGTTCAATTGAAATTGACTGTTATAAATACAGTGGGGTACGGTGATCAAATAAACAAAGAAGCCAGGTTAGTGTTTTCCTATTTGAATTTAAAAACATTTCTGTACTTTAAGGAATTTGCCTTTCCTCTCCATAGACTAATTGGTAATATTTTTCCAACTTAATGATACATTTCTGCAATTTGTATTCTTTTCTAATTAAATAATGTTCCCTTTTTTGTGAAATTGACACTTTAGCATCTAATTATCTGATTTCCTTCAAGGGTTTGTTTTTTTTTTTTTTTTTTTTTTGGGGCCCTCACGGGTTGTTTTTTTTTTTTTTTTTTTTGAGAGGTTTTTGCTATGGGATGCATGCGTTCACCAGAAGACAGAGAGAGACAGAAAGCAAGAAATCACCCCCCAGGGAGGATGGCCATGACTAATCCCTTCTCCTCCATTATCCTCTCGGGATCTTGGGCATGCGCGCACAGGTTTCTGGCATGAGTTTAAACAACAGGGTCCGGGACTTGAACCATGGTCAACTACATGGGAGTCCAGCGACGTAGCCATTAACGCCATCTGCTGGCCCCAAGAGATTCACTCTTTGTGATGTGTATTTCTATAGGTTTTAGAAAGTGCACAGACCTGAATAGCCATCATTTCAGTCATAACATAGAATAGTTCTGTTGCACCCCGTCATTATCTTATGTACAATTGCCGCACTGTATTAATTGTTTTAGCTTCACAATAAGACCTGTGTCTAGACAGTATGTCTCCCTTGGTTTTCTTTAAGATGTCTTGAACATTCTAGGCCTTTAATACTCTACATAAATATACATATAAAAGTTTGGTTTCTGATTTAGATTGCTTTGAATTGATAGATTATTTGACCTTTTCTGGAAACAGGGTAAAACATGGGCCTTTTTATTGGGACGGGATCATTACCTTTGTATGAGCAAATCATGTACTTTATCATTGTGGCAAACTCTTTAGGACATTAACTATTAATTAAATGATGAAAAAGACTTCAAATTTCCAGGAACATGCCATGCTAAAGGTCTAAATAATCATTTTTTTTTAGCTACCAACCAATTGTTGACTACATAGACGCCCAGTTCGAGGCGTACCTGCAAGAAGAACTGAAGATTAAACGCTCTTTCGTTGACTACCACGATTCTCGCACCCATGCGTGCCTTTACTTCATCTCACCCACAGGACATTCTCTGAAGTCCCTCGATCTATTAACGATGAAGAGCATTGACAGTAAGGTGTGCTTGGTGAACCCATTTGTCTTCCAAGTTCAGTATTTATTTTGAGATAATAATATATCTCAAAAGCATTTGCATAACAGTACCGGTTACTTTTCATATGTATACATACACATCACGATTTTTTCTGTTACTTTAAAAACAATCGCTAGCCTTTGCCAGGGCTGCCATACTGAAATACCCCAGGCTGGGTGGTTTAAACTGTATAAATGCATTTGTTCACAGGTATGGAGGCCAGAGGTCCAAGGAAAGGTGTTAGCAGTTTGGTTTCTGAAACCTTTCTCCTTGGCTGGCAGATGGCTGTCTTCTCAGGGTCTTCCCTCTGGCATCTCTTTATGTATCTAAGTTTCCTTTTCTTACCATTCACATTGAATCCCCCTCGTAATAACCTCATTTTAACTTAATCACTTAATCACAGGTTCTAGTTTCAATTACAGTCACACTAGGCAATACTGGGGGTTAAGGCTTTCATATAAAAATTTGAGGATGATACAATTCAGCATTTGATAGCTTTCGACTTTAGCTTGCAGAGGACTTTCATGAAAGAGCAATATCAGTTTAGAAAATGAGATGTGGGGCCAGCAGGTGGCATGATGGTTAAGGCACTGGATCCCACATGGGTAACCCCACAGTTCGAGACTGGACCCATGTCTTGGAAATCACGCTAGGCTCATGTGCATGTGCGTCTAAAATCCTGAGGTTTTTTCCCTCACGGGTTGTTTTTTTTTTTTTTTTTTTTGAGAGGTTTTTGCTATGGGATGCATGCGTTCACCAGAAGACAGAGAGAGACAGAAAGCAAGAAATCACCCCCCAGGGAGGATGGCCATGACTAATCCCTTCTCCTCCATTATCCTCTCGGGATCTTGGGCATGCGCGCACAGGTTTCTGGCATGAGTTTAAACAACAGGGTCCGGGACTTGAACCATGGTCAACTACATGGGAGTCCAGCGACGTAGCCATTAACGCCATCTGCTGGCCCCAAGAGATTCACTCTTTGTGATGTGTATTTCTATAGGTTTTAGAAAGTGCACAGACCTGAATAGCCATCATTTCAGTCATAACATAGAATAGTTCTGTTGCACCCCGTCATTATCTTATGTACAATTGCCGCACTGTATTAATTGTTTTAGCTTCACAATAAGACCCTGTGTCTAGACAGTATGTCTCCCTTGGTTTTCTTTAAGATGTCTTGAACATTCTAGGCCTTTAATACTCTACATAAATATACATATAAAAGTTTGGTTTCTGATTTAGATTGCTTTGAATTGATAGATTATTTGACCTTTTCTGGAAACAGGGTAAAACATGGGCCTTTTTATTGGGACGGGATCATTACCTTTGTATGAGCAAATCATGTACTTTATCATTGTGGCAAACTCTTTAGGACATTAACTATTAATTAAATGATGAAAAAGACTTCAAATTTCCAGGAACATGCCATGCTAAAGGTCTAAATAATCATTTTTTTTTAGCTACCAACCAATTGTTGACTACATAGACGCCCAGTTCGAGGCGTACCTGCAAGAAGAACTGAAGATTAAACGCTCTTTCGTTGACTACCACGATTCTCGCACCCATGCGTGCCTTTACTTCATCTCACCCACAGGACATTCTCTGAAGTCCCTCGATCTATTAACGATGAAGAGCATTGACAGTAAGGTGTGCTTGGTGAACCCATTTGTCTTCCAAGTTCAGTATTTATTTTGAGATAATAATATATCTCAAAAGCATTTGCATAACAGTACCGGTTACTTTTCATATGTATACATACACATCACGATTTTTTCTGTTACTTTAAAAACAATCGCTAGCCTTTGCCAGGGCTGCCATACTGAAATACCCCAGGCTGGGTGGTTTAAACTGTATAAATGCATTTGTTCACAGGTATGGAGGCCAGAGGTCCAAGGAAAGGTGTTAGCAGTTTGGTTTCTGAAACCTTTCTCCTTGGCTGGCAGATGGCTGTCTTCTCAGGGTCTTCCCTCTGGCATCTCTTTATGTATCTAAGTTTCCTTTTCTTACCATTCACATTGAATCCCCCTCGTAATAACCTCATTTTAACTTAATCACTTAATCACAGGTTCTAGTTTCAATTACAGTCACACTAGGCAATACTGGGGGTTAAGGCTTTCATATAAAAATTTGAGGATGATACAATTCAGCATTTGATAGCTTTCGACTTTAGCTTGCAGAGGACTTTCATGAAAGAGCAATATCAGTTTAGAAAATGAGATGTGGGGCCAGCAGGTGGCATGATGGTTAAGGCACTGGATCCCACATGGGTAACCCCACAGTTCGAGACTGGACCCATGTCTTGGAAATCACGCTAGGCTCATGTGCATGTGCGTCTAAAATCCTGAGAGAAGAACATAGGAGTAGGGATTACAGCATGGCCATTGCCCCTTGAGGGTGATTTCTCACTTTCCCTCTTTCTCTGGCAAATGCATGCACCCTATAGCAAAAATAAAAAAAGAAAGGAAAAAAAAAATGAGATACAGGTTTTTAAAAATCCCCAAACCAAAAGCCACTAAAATAAAACCAGTTTATTTCTTTCTGTGGTTATATGGTATTTCAGATCATAGTCAATTGCCTGTATTTTTTATATCGAATTCAACAGAAGAGTATTACTATGAAATAATCACATTAACGCTTGACTGGGACTGCTGATGGTGTGAAGCATCGAGATCTTGCAAAGCTGGCTGCAGGTACTATCAGGGAGGACTCAGTGCGAGAGAACGCAGGCACCTAATTCCTGCTATGTAGAAACAACCAAGGAGGGACCAGCAGGTGGCATGGTGGTTAAGGCACTGGTATTCCCACATGGCCAACCGCGGTTCGAGTCCTGGACCTGGTGGCTTGCTTTCTCACTCTTCCTCTCTGTCTTTCTCTAGCAAAATTCATGTGAAAATAATAATAAGTAAATAAAATAATTCTTAAAAAAAAGAGAAAGAAACAGCCAAGGAAGCTTGAATTCTTCTAGTAAAAATTTGCAACATGCATGGACTTTCTTTTGACAGGCTGCTTAATCCCCATAGCTTTAGCAAAACCTTGGTGAAATTTATATGACCTTGTTCCTTTGATTAAGTTTTCTAATCATTTAGAAGTTTTCCATAGTTTAGTTTGAATGTATGGAAAAGTATTCTATTAAATGCACATAAAGGAGCCAGCAGGTGTTTGGGACACTGGACTCCTGCATGGTCAACCGCGATTTGGGTCCTGGACCTGGTGGCTTGCTTTCTCACTTTCTCTCTCTCTCCGTCTTTGCTTTCTCTCTCTCCCTTTCTCTCTCTCTGGTGGGTGCCTGTGCCCTCTAGCAAATTTTAAAATATTAATAATAAATAAAGTTAAATAAATATTTTAAAAATGCATATAAAAATAGAACATGAAACTTTGTACTCTTTTTTTATTATAAGACTTATTTTATTTAACTTTATTTATTTATTCGTATTTGACCAGAGAGGGACAGAGTGAGAGAAAGAGAGAAGGAAAGTGAGAAAGAAACCCACCAGGTCCAAGACTTGAACTATGGTCGGCCATGCGGGAGTCCAGCACCCTTAACCACCATGCCACCTGTTAGCAATATAGTCTTTTTTATACAGAAGGAATATAAAGTCAAGGATTTGCTGTCAGCGGAAGCAGCTTTTGAATATTTGCTCCATCATTTGTTAACTTTATGTGACCCTGGGATGTCTTGAGCTTTTAAGCCTGAACCTACCACATGCTAGCCATGTGGCTTTAGGAAAATTATGAATCTCAAATATTTTTCTCTGTGCTTTTTGTGTAACTCTCTTTAAGTCAAAAATTAATTCAAGTAAAAAACTTAAAGACTTTTTTTTGTAGAGAGATTTTTGCTATAAGGCACATGCTCTCACTGGAGAGACAGAGAGAGATAGAAAGGGAGAAATTACCTCCTAGGAGGGGTAGCCATGCCGCATTCTCTTCTCCTCCATTTTCCTCTTAGGATTTTGGGCACACATGCACACATGCCTGGCATGAGTTTTTTATCCATCCAGAATATACTGCATAGTGGCTTAATCATGCATGTTATCAATAATTTTCCATTTCTAGTTTCATATATATACATATATATATATGAAACTGTCTTATCATCAGATTACTATCTGCTCTCAGCTCAAATAAAATCTTTCATTCAGTTGAAAAGAGGAAAAGTGCTAAAATTTGGTTTTTATTAGAGAAGTCTTATCTTTTGCTATTTATTGTTCAAATTGGAAAAAAAATGTATTTAATCTCAGTTGTCACCAAATAATTGAAAGAAACTAGATTTCTAGTTAAATTAAGAGCTGCTTTAAGTTCTTTTTAATTTTTATATTTTTGCTAGAGGATACATGCACTCACCAGAAAGAGAGAGACAGAGGGAGAGGAGAAACCTCCCCACCACCATCCCAGGGAATGGTCACATTGAAATCCTTATCAGGGCCAGCAGGTGGCGGGGTGGCTAAAGGCACTGGACTCCCACATGGCCAGCTGTGGTTTGAGTCCTGGACGGGATGGCTTTCTTTCTCTCTCTCTCTCTCTCACTTTGTCTCTCTCTGTTTAAATTTAAATAAATAAATAAAGTTAAGTAAAATAACTCTTAAGAAGAAAAAGAAATCCTTATCCTTTCTCTCTGCTCCTCTTCAGGATTTAGGGTACACACATGCATGCACCCAGCATTGTTTGTCAAGTGGCCAGGTCCAGGACTCAAATGGCGTGGTTGGCTATGTGGGATCCAGCTGCCTTCACCACCAGGCCTGGAGTCGGCCCTGATTTCTTGGTCAGTCATACATTCAATAATCAGGAACACACAGTTTTATTTTTACATTTCCTCAAGCTACTTTCTAGGTATAAAAAATGCCTAATTTTCACAAAGACCATTACATAAAGGAATGTACACAGATATATATATATATATATATATATATATATCTCCCAGGTCACTCAGTTCTCCTTAAAATAATTACCTTAAAAATAAAAAGAATGATTTATTCAATTTTATTTATTTATTCATTTATTTAAATTTGACCAGAAAGAAAGAGAGGTAAGGTTGGGAACCAGCAGTTAGCGTAATGGCTATGTCGCTGGACTCCCACATAGTCAACTGCAGTTCACGTCCTGGACCCGGTGGCTTAAAACTCACGCCAGGTGTGTGTGCGTGCGTGCCCAAGATCCCAAGAGGAGAATGGAGGAGAAGGGATTGTGATGTGATGATCCTCCCTGGGGGGTGATTTCTCACTTTCTGTCTCTCTGTCTGTCTCTGTCTGTCTCTGTCTGTCTCTGTCTGTCTGGCGAGCGCACGTGCCCTATAGCGAAAACCTCTCCAAAAAAAAAAAAAAAAGAAAGGTAAGGTAAGAAAGCAAGATGCCAGGTCTGGGACTCTAACTGCAGTCAGCCATGTGGGAATCCAACACCTTAGCTACTACGCCGCCTGCCAATCCATAACTAACTGCCTTTTTTATCACTCAGTTTAATGAGAAGTCAAATTGACAATGAATTAGATTATCTGCTTCATCCTACTCTTTTACTAATTCCATTATGTGTTAGAAACACCAGAGATTTTCAGAAACAAAATTGAGATTTCCAAACCCAAATTCTGTTAAAAGATGAATCTCCAAAAGTACCGATGTTTTTAGAAAACAGTTTTGTAAGAAAGCATGCCAGCCAGCGGTCATTATAGTTACACAGCTTCGTCAGCGACTGTGAGGTTTCGGCTGTGAAAACTGCAGGATGTTTAACAAATCCTCAGTGATGAGAGTTTTGTCTTTCTTCTTAGGTGAACATCATACCATTGATTGCCAAAGCAGATACAATTTCTAAGAATGAATTACAGAAGTTTAAGAGCAAGATAATGAATGAACTGATTAGCAATGGCATCCAGATATATCAGTTCCCAGCAGACGATGAAACTACCGGTCAAGTAAACTCCTCAATGAATGTAAGCTTCTAATCACTGGCTATTAATCCCAATCTCCATGTGGGAATAAGTATGTCATTTATAAGGAACACTACTAGTACTGTGTTGTCACCTGTATCTGACAAACAGCCTATAAACAAAGTATTTATCCCAAAATGCATGTGGGAAAATGTTTCATTTTCTTGATTTTGAAAAATGCTTACTTGGGCCAGCAGGTGGCAGAATGGTTAAGACACTGAATCTTATATGGCTGACTATTCAGTCTGAGTCCCTGTGGCTTGAAAAACACATCCCAGCGGGTGCATGCATGCCCAAAATCCTGAGAGGAGATTGGAGGAGATGGCATTGCTGTGTGGTCATCCCCCCTGGGGGTACCTTTTCACTTTCCCCTCTCTGTGTCTCTTTCCAGTGAATGCACATGTCCTATAGCAAACACCACCCTCCCCAATAAATAAATTTTTAAAAATGCTTGCTGATAAAAATTATTTTTCTTTTCTTTCTTTCTTTCTTTCTTTCTTTCTTTCTTTCTTTCTTTTTTTTAGAGAGACAGATTTTCTACTATAGGGCTCATGAACTCACCAGAGAGACAGAAAGCGAGAAATCACACACACACACATACACACACACACACACACACACACACACACCCTGCCGCCCCTTTCCTGAGGGAGAGCCACAAAACCCAATTCCTTCTTTCATTCTCCTTTTGGCATTTTTGGTATGCACACACATGTGTCTCTCTCTCTGTCTCTCCAACAAGCGCACATGCCCTATAGCAAAAAGCTCTCTTAAAAACAAGTTACTGATCAAACCAGCAGTTAGCGTAATGGCTATGTTGCTGGACTCCCACGTAGTCGACCGCGGTTCGTGTCCCAGACCCAGTGGTTTAAAACTCACGCCGGGTGCGTATGCGTGCGTGCCCAAGATCCCGAGAGGAGAATGGAGGAGAAGGGATTGCGGCGTGACCATCCCCCCTAGGGGGTGATATCTCGCTTTCTGTCTCTATGTCTCTCTCTGTCTCTCTGGTGAGCACATGCACCCTATAGCGAAAATCTCTCAAAAAAAAAAAAAAAAAGTTACTGGCTTCAGAAGAGGGAGAGGAGCCCAAGCTGACAGACACAGGTGCTTCCCTGCCCTCTCACCGTGTGATGCCCTGAGCTGCCTTGGGGCTCTGCAGGGATCCTCACCACCAGACGTGGCCTGCAAAGATGGACCTCCAAAGTCATGAGCCAAATAAATCTTTATTCTTTAGATGATGGAAATAACCAAGCTCTCAAATAATAAATCACATGGTTTATTCCAAACACAACTTTGAGTGACAAGGCCTGAGAAGCACAAAGGTGCTTCCCCAGGGTGCTTAGATGCAGCAGTTCTTTTATTCAGTTCTGAGGGCGGCAGACACAGACAGTTGCGAATCAGCATAAGGAGTCTCTTCAGTGACCTGACCCAAAAGGCCAGGCATCCTGAAGCTGGGGCTTGTAGGTTATAGGTGGGTTTAGACATTCTTAGGTTAGTGGGACCAGCAGTTGGCGGAATGGCTGTGTCGCTGGACTCCCACATAATCAACTGTGGTTTGAGTCCCAGACCCGGTGGCTTAAACTCATGCTGGGCACGTGTGCGTGCGTGCACAAGATCCTGAGAGGAGAATGGAGGAGAAGGGATTGCAGCATGTCCATGCCCCCTGGGGGGTGATTTCTCACTTTCTGTCTCTCTGTCTCTCTTTCTCTTTCTGACGAGCGCACATGTCCTATACCATAAACCTCTCCAAAAAAAGAAAGCATCTTAGAATAGGAAGAATAGTCAGAAATCTGTCTTCACTTTTCTTTTTTATTAACATTTGCCAGAGGATTTGTGCACTTGCTGGAGAGAGACAGAAAGAGAGAGAGAGAGAAGGAAAGTGAAAACGTACCCTCTATGGGAGACAGTCATGCTGTAATTCCTTCTCCATTTCTCCCTTCAGGATTGTGGGCATGTACACACATGCACCTGGTGTGTTTTCAAGTCACCAGGGCCAGACTCAAACCATGCCATCGACCACGTGGGATCCAGCCTCCTTAACCACCATGGCACTGGCTGGCCCACTTTTCTCTTTTCTACGTCACCCAGTCTGTGATATTCTGTTACTAACAATAGAGAATGAAATAAAACCACATTTTGTTTACCCATTTATTAGTTAATGGATATTTGTATTGCTTCCTATGTTTGGCTCTTGTGAAGAAAGCTGCTATAAATATTCGTGTTGACATGTGTTTTTACTTTTCCTGGGTATATGCCCAGAAGTGTAATTATTGAGGCGTGTGATAGCTGTTTAATCATTCAAAGAACTGTTAGGCCATTTTCAAAGTGGCTGCATCAGCTTACATTCCCACCCGCAGTTCTCATTCCTTCACTTCCTTATCTTTATTTTTTAAAGAATTATTTTTATTTAATTTTTTATTCATTGTCATTATATTTTATTTTATTTTTCAGGAGTTGACCAGAGAGAGAGAGAGAGAGAGAGAAGGGAAGTGAGAAAGCAGCTAACACGCCTGGCATGTTTTCAAGCCACCAGATCCAGGTCTTGAACTGTGCAGTTGATCATGTGGGAACCAGTTGCTTTAACCACCATGCCACCACCTGGCCCTAGTTATTTTTAATACTTTTTTTTTTTTTTTTAGCTTTTTGACATAGGGTGCTTGCACTAGCTGGAGAGAGACAGAGAGAAGGAAAGTGAGAAATTACCCCTCAGAGGGGGTAGATATGCCACAGTTCCTTCTCCCGCAGTCTCCTCTTGGAGACTCATGCATGTACCTATGCCTGGTGTGTTTCCCAAGCTGCCAGGTCCAGGACTTGAACCTCATTTGGCCATGTGGGTATCTAGTGCCTTAACCACCAGGCTACCTGCTGGCCCCTATTTTTTAATACTGTTGTCTTTTAACTTTTTTGATGCAGTTTAAAATGATGTGAATATATTATTTCCTCAATGTTGTCTTTGCATTTCAGAGTAAAAATAGTATGAGAAAAGTATGTTTACTGGGACCGGAAGGTGGCGTGGTGGTTAAGGGCGTTGTACTCCCACATGGCCGACCATGGTTCGAGTCTCAGACTTGGCAGCTTGCTTTTTCACTTTCTCTCTCTCTCTCTCTCTCTCTCACTCTACCCTTCTCTGGTCAAGTTAAAATATAAATAAATAAAGTTGAATAAAATAATTCTTAAAGAAAAAGAATATTTACTAAAAGTATGTCTTTTTTTCCTTTGTATTCTTCACAACAGAATGCTTTCCTTTTGATTCTACTCTATGGATAGTTTTCAGTTGTGTGCATAGCTTGAGACTGAAGCTTCTAGAAATTAATCAGCATATATTTACTGCCAAGTCTTAATTTCTCATATGGGATAGATCCCTTGTTTTATTAAATTAATGATATTCTCATAACAAATAAGAATAGCAGAGTAAGCCGTATTGGTACAAGGGAATTCAATTCACATCTTCCTTGTTTTCTAGGGGCTATTGCCCTTTGCCGTGGTGGGGAGTACGGATGAGGTGAAAGTTGGAAAGAGAATGGTCAGAGGTCGTCACTACCCCTGGGGAGTTTTGCAAGGTAAATATGAAAGAGAACAGGTTCTAGAATGATGAGTTAAATATACCTTGCATATGATTCATAGTGTCAAAATAGCATTTTAACTTAAGCCAATATTGGTAACTCTTGCTAACATGTAAATCAACAGTTACTAATGAAGAACGGTTACTAAGGAAACACACTGATTTACGCTAATAGTTGCTTTGATTATGACTCACTGTCATGGGAATTTACTGAATGCTGCTTTAGGCCCAAATCTAGAGGCCGGGCGGAATCTCCTTGTCTACTCCAACATGGCATACACGGATGATCTCTCTCTACATGAGCCATGATGTTCAAATTGCTGGGAAGTGCTCTGAACAGAATTAAATTATAGTGATTGGTGTTTAAGCATGGTACCCGAACAATTACTACCTGATTTATAAAGCATTTTGAACTGGTTATTACGAAAATAAGTAATGATTTTGGCCTCGTTCTATGGTCTGGTGGTTAAGGCAGTTGGATCGTATGTGGCTAACCTGTCATTTGAGTTCTGGACCAGGAGCTTGAGAAACGTGCCAAGTGCGTGTGAGTGCTTGCTCAAAATTCCAAAAGGAGGAAGGGATGAGGGAGAAGGAATTTCAGCATGATCATTCCCCACAGGGGATGCTTTCTCCTCTCCTTTGCTCTCTGCCTCTGGTGAATGCCCATGCCCTGTAACCCAAACTAGCTAACTAACTAACTAACTAATGAACTAACTAACTAAATAAATAAACAGATAGAAATAATAACAACAATAACATATACTTCTCAAACACTAGTACAGTTTACCTTTGACTTATACATTGACATTCATGTTAGCTATCTAGCATCATGTTGTGTTGGAATATTGTATCTGTGGTAATTCATTGTCTTGTTCCTATACTTGTGATATTAATTATTGAAGAATGAATGATTACAGCTAGTACTAGTTTCCAGTTTTTTTTCTTTTAGAGAGACTTTTGCTATAGGGTGCATGCTCTCACCTGAGAGACAGAGAAAGAAAACAGAGAGACAGAAAGTGAGAAATAACCCCCCACAAGGGGATGGCCATGCTGTAATCCCTTCTTCATTCTCCTCTTGTGATTTAGGGCATGTGCACACACGTGCCCGGTATGAGTGTCAACTTGCCAGGTCTGAGAATTGAACTGTGGTCAGCAATGTGGAAGTCCATTACACCATATGCTGGTCCCCCAAATGTTTTTAAAATTTTGTATATCAGAAATGTTTTAATTCATGAAACATACTTAAACTTAACATGTTTTAAGTATATAGTATAATATATACAGATATATTATGTAGAAATATGTGAAATTTGGTCACAATATCATACATAATAAACATATTGTGATCAGTTTTCTAGACATGATGAACAGAGGAGAGAGTCATGAGCATTTTGTTTTAATTAATTAGTTACCATTTAATTGACTAAAATTGTATGTATTTGTCATGTACAGCATGATGTTTAGAAATATGTATACAAGGGACCAGCAGGAAGCATGGAAGTTAAGGTACTGATCCCATATGGCCAACTATGCAGTTCAAGTCCTGCACCTGGTGGCTTGACAAACAGGCCGGGCATGTGTGCCCCAAGTCCTGAGAGGAGACTGAAAGAGAGGGGATTGCTGTATGGCCATTTCCCCCCCCCCGGGAGTGATTTCCCACTTTCCCTCTCTCTCTGTCTCTCTGTTTCTGTCTCTCTTTGGCGAGTGCACATGCCCTCTAGCAAACTACCAAAAGACACAGAGTAGTTGAAAGGATTAAAAAATAGGAGCCTTCAATATGCTGCCTGTAAGAAATGCACTTCAAAGACAAACATCAACTGAAATTGAAGATCCAAAAACGATATTCCAAGTGAATCAATTTTTTTAAAAGGCTGGTGACTCAATATTGATATCAAACAAAATCAATCTGAAGACAAAAACTGTAAGAAGAGACAAAGAAGGCACTATATAGTACTAAAAGGGTTAATTCACCACGAAGATATAACATTTATAACTATCTACACACCCAATACTGGAGCACCCAAATGCTTTATTTAAAATGGGAGATAGACTGCAACACGATAGTCACTGGAGCACTCAACACTTGACTATTTCCTCTAAGCAGATCATCTAGACCAAAGAAAGAAAAAGAAAGAAAGAAAAAGAAAGAAAGAAAGAAAGAAAGAAATATCCAAGGCCACCCCATGGTGTGGTGGCGAAGGTGACTAGATCCCATATGGCTCACTGTACAGCTCAAGTCCTGCACTAGACTGGGAAACATGCCAAGCAAGTGTGCAAGTGTGCTGAGAATCCTGAGAGGGGAAGGGAAGAAAAGGGATTGTGCGGTGGTCATTCTCCTGGGGGGGGGGTTCTCACTTCATCCTCCCTCTTCTCTCTCTATGTCTCTCTCTGGCAAGCACACATGCCTTGTAGCAAATTTCGAAAAACAAAATAAACAAATATGTATACATTGTGGAATAGCTAAACTGAGCTAATCAACATATGTATTACCTCACATATGTATTTCTATGGTGAGAACACTGGCATCTACTCTCTTAGCAATTTTCAAGAAAACAATACATTGTTAACTAGAACCACCATACTGTACAAGAGATCTCTTGAACTTGTTCCTCTTACCTAATTGAAATTTTGTATCCTTTGACCAACATTACCCTTTTCCTGCGTCTCACAAAGGCCCTAGTAACCACCATTCTACTCTCAACATCTGTCATTTGAACTTTTTTAGATTGCACATATAAGTGAAATTACATGGCGTTGTTTTATTTCACTTACTATAAAGTTCTCTACGTTCATCCATGCTGTCACAAAGGACAGGATTTTCTTTGCTTTAAAGGCTGAATAATATTTCATTGTATATATATGTACCACTTTTTTTTTTTTATCCATTCACCCACTTATTATTTTTTGTGTGTATGGAGAGGTTTTTTTTTGTTTGTTTTTGTTTTTGCTATAGGGCACGTGCACTCGCCAGACAAACAGAGAGACAGAAAGCGAGAAATCACCCCCCAGGCGGGATGGCCACGCCGCAGTCCCTTCTCCTCCATTCTCCTCTCGAGATCTTGGGCATGCACGCACACGCGCCCAGCATGAGTTTTAAGCCACCGGGTCCAGGATGCGAACCACGGTCGACTACATGGGAGTCCAGCGAC